TTTGTTCTTCCTATCAAGTGCACAATACATACAGGCATGCATCTCATCTGGCTGAAGAGATGATGTTCATCACAGCATCCTTTTTAATTCTGTTCACTTCTGCCTTGGAATTGTATTTTCTTAGAGAAAGGCTAAAAAAATGAAAACGGTAAAATTATACACTCTCACTCCCAAATTTAAGCATCATATCTCCAATGATGCCATTAATCAGTCACGTGATAATGCATTGTAAATGAGGTTAATTTTTTTTTTTTTTTAAATACTTGAAAAGGGCTAGCTGTGTACAACAAAACTCAACAGACAGATAATGATAGTGGCTATGTTCTTAATGTAAGACTCCAGAATTAATATCTATAGAATGCAATTGACTGGTTTATCAGGGGGGTAGGCTGGAGGACGGAGGAATTGTCTAGTTCCTCTTATTTCAGCCAAGGTAAATAATCTGATAACAGAATGCCCTTTAAACTTGGAACTCAGGAGTTTGTGAGGGGAACAGTGTTGAATAAGTTTAAATTGTTCCATAAGCTTGTTGCCTGATTTCACTGTAAAATGATAAATTCTGCTCTCTTTGCTGATGGTAAACTATGTCAAATGGAAGTAAAATCCTGCAAGTCTGGTGTTATTCTATTTGGAGAACTAAAATAAATGAAAATTATTTTTTTCAATTAAGTAACTTGTTGCAAAGTACCATAGAAACGAAGGTATTTGCTGAATACCTTTGAAAATTCAGTTAATTATTTACAAAAGTAATACTTAGGGAGTTTTCACAGGTGGTAGAAACTCTCGATAGAGACAGTAATGAAGATGAGATTTAAAAGCTGTTTTTTCATCCTAGTCACGATGTGTTCAGGCAAACTCTTTGCAGAAGGTAAATACACTGAATTCTATTGTTATTAAAATACATTGAATCTAGAATATGCATTCTAGGTAAATTAAGTGCAGTATCCTTCATATCTTTACTGAGTAAACTCTGCTTTTTAAAGCACTGTTGTGATATGGCTGATTATTTCAATTCAGCTGTTGCTGATTCCTACCTAAGCTTCAAAGCTGTAATATTGAAAGGTTCAGACTTTAGTTCAGAAGAGGTGTCTTTTGAAATGTCTTTGAGCTGTTCTGAGGCACTTACACAAATTGAATTCTGTCCTATTAAAACATTTTATATATCAAAGTGTCTGGGTGATTGAAGTGTTCTCCCTTTGCCACAAAGCAAACCAGTGGAAGTTAAAGGGAACATGCAGGAGTTAATGTGGGGTAGTTCTACATTTCCTATGCCTATTTTCAGCATTGATTAAGATTCCTGGGTTTATATAGTTTATGTGCCACTTGAACTGCAACATATTTGTTGCAACTACCTCTCTTCACCAGACTTTTGTGCTTATGCAAAGCAGTTGAAATTAAACTGATGTCCTTTAGAAAGTCAAAAAGTATGTAGGTAGCAACCATGTCTGTTTTAATTTCATGCAGATCTTAATTACCCTCAGGTTAGGGTTTTGTTTTGTTTTGTTTTGTTTTGTTTTATTTAGATGTGATGCTGTGGCTGTGTGAGGAAATTACCTGGGCACTTTCTATTTATTAAAACCATTAAATTTGCAGAAAATTCTAACAAATGTAGTAAATTCTAGTGGCACTGAGTGAGGGAGCAATAGTTTTTTATTTTTGGTTCTGTGCCAGGTGAATGTAGCAGCGGGAACTTGTGAGAAAATTCTGCTCAATTACAATGAGATTCATAGGTGGCAAATCAGTTTTTAAAACTGAATTCTTTAGATTAGATTGCCTTGGAGAAAATTTTTGAGACCCAGAGGATAAAATTTTAAGAAATCCGAAAGTTTAGCTTTTTTCTTTTATGTTTGTTAGTTTGTTTTCTGGTTGGTGGGAGGTTTTATTTGTTTGGTTTAGTTTTTGTTGTTGTTTGGTTGCTTTGGTTTCATTATTTTGGTTTTTTTAAGTATCTTAATGTCGTATTCAGCACTATTCTTTTTAAAGGTTTTCTTCTGTTACCGGTTTGGGCTATTTTTATTGCCATTCTGCTTGTTCTTTGCTTACTCTCCACTTCTTTCTTTTCTCTTGACTGTTCTTAAGTTCCTTTTCTTAAGCATATTTAACTCCTGTATTGTCTCCTGGCAGTCTGTCCTACTTTTCTGATAACGTTTGCAGAATTGAGGAGCCAGGGTACAGCTAATCTCGACACTGCTCTCACTGGATTTTACAGTAGGCATTGGTATGTTTGTGCAGCACAGGATACTCATGCTTCTGGATGAAATAAAGAGTAAAATAAATGTGTCCTGCATCAGTTTTGCCCAGTTCACATTAGGAAGTTTCAATCTACAGCTGATATTCCTGTGAACCTAAAGAACAAAAGCTGATAAAACTGTAATATATCTTAATTTCATCAAGTCTTAAAAGGCTCCTCATTCTTGTAAGTATTCAGAATTTCATTCTCCTTGTTTGAAAGCCCAAATCAGTCAAACTGATATGAACGTTTTTGCATTAACTTATTTAATATCTGGGCTGTGATATTTAGTGAGAAATATATTTATCTTTTTGCAGGTAAACCTTGTGACTTGCCACACATAGAAAATGGGAAGATTGCCCAGTACTATTACAGTTTCAAAAGTTATTATTTCCCTATGCATAAAGACAAAAAACTTTCCTATTCCTGTATGGTGGGTTATACAACTGAAACTGGGACTCAAGATGGAAGAATAACTTGTACAGCAACAGGATGGTCTCCAGTGCCACGATGCTACAGTGAGTTAGCTTTATTCACCTCCTCGTCCTTCTAGCAGGAAAATTTTCTTGTTGGTTTTCCTGGAAAATACAGGAACAGAAGCCACATAGCAGAAGGGAAAATTTGTAAAAGCTAGGACAAGGTGAAATCAAACCTTTATGTATATGAACTACATAAGTTTATATATGGAATATTTTTACAATCATATATATTTTAAGGGCTTTTAACCATTTATGTTCTATAAGAACATCAAGAAAGTTGCCCAGTTTCCTTAGTTTTGGAAAACTAATAAATAGTTGTCCCTTAGATGTATATCCTTTCGAGGCTTTCCTACCTCTAGATTCCTTGGTCGTATTCCATGTTGTTACCATTGGTTCGATGTATTGTTTGATGATTAAAGCAGAGTTTCTTAAGCAGGTCAAGAGAACAAGATCAGATCAGTATATTTGCAAAGCCCTCCTTTTCATTACCAGAGAAGAAAGATGTTCCATTCTTTCTTTCTAACCAAGCTGTTGTCTTTCATTCAGGAAAATGTAGCAAGCCTTTTTTGGAAAATGGCTTTTTTTATGGCACAGAAATGTACTTCAAAATCCATGAGAAATTGCAATACAAATGTAATCCAGGCTATCACACTCCAAGCGGTGGTACTGAAGATACAGTAGAGTGTCAACCAGAAGGATGGTCCTTCCAGCCAAGCTGTACTGAAAAATTTGGTAGGATTCTGCATTTATTCTCATTTATAATCAGTTGTAGATGTATATAGTTCCACTGTCCTTGCTGTAGCTGTAGGGTCAAAGTGCCTATATTAGGTTGTCATTTGAATACTCCTGAAGCAAGTTCTCAGCTGTAGCTCTTGGAAAGAAGTTGTCAGATTTCACATGGTGCTAGTTTTGTGAATTTGTTTAGATACAATTATATGTGGATGGAATCAGTGTAGATGAAATCACATTGTTTCAAATAAATCCATTGCCCTACAAACTTTCTTTCCAAATGATGACTGGAAAACTCATGTAAACAACTGCATTTGTAGTTATTGTTTGCCAAGATTTTGCATGGGATATGACCCCTTTTAAAGCGTTCCTCAGAAAAATTTTAAATTAATTACTTGAAATTAAGAGAGCAAGTAATATTATGCATATGCTTTATTTATTTAAGAGTCATGTCAAGTGCCCAATTTACGTCACGGCCGCTACTTCACAGCCCAGAAGGAGCTTCGAGTGAACGAAACGCTGCTGTACCGGTGCGATGAGGGATATCGTACAGCGGGAGGGAGCACTACAGAGGCAGCAGTGTGTCTGACATATGGGTGGGCCCTTACTCCAAACTGCACCAGTAGGTCATGGCCTGCAAAATAATTTGGTTTGGAATGTGATTTATTCTACAAGTTAACAAAAGAGACTTGTTTTACCAGCCGTTGGAGGTGGAAAACCTTCCTCAGCTGGTTTTCACTGCTGTGTTTTCTTCCTAGGAATAACTTGCTCCTCTTTGAGTGCAGTAGCTCATGGAGGTTTCTATCCTGTGAAGAAAATCTATGAAGAGGGAGATGTAGTTCACTTCTTCTGTGACAAACATTATTCTGTCACTGAATTTGACTTAATTCAATGTTATTATTTCGGGTGGCATCCAGACCCTCCTGTGTGTGAAGGTACCTTACTTTTATAGTTTTACTATGAAAAACTAACACCTTCTTACATGGGATGCTTTTATGAATCCAACATAAAAGTACAGGTTTTTTACCAATTCCTAGTCTAAATATAAACCAAGTTTTGGCCAAAGGGCAGGGACCCAGGGTAGCAGGAAGGGAGGCAGTGATAACTGGAATTACTTTTCAGTGGGCTCTAGCAACCCAGCAGATACTGCCTCTCACTGTTGTTTCTCTATGTTATATCCTGGAGAAGCAGGAATCAACAATTACAGGGAATTTATTAGCCCTGAAGCTCGCTTAACTGTGTTCAAATTACATGAAGGTTTAACCAAACATGCTTAATCCTGCCCTGTGGGATGGGAACATGCCTCTAAAGAGGAATTAAAAATAAAATTTATAACAAGTTCCTCCTTAGCTTGTGGTACTTTTCAGAGTTGTACAGCCTCACCAAAATTTACATGTTTTCAACAGAATTGACTAAAAGATCATTTGTTCTGAAGACAGAAACACACCTTTAGCAACTGCTATTAGTTCTCCAGTCGTTGGGGGATAATGGAGTCTCAGAAAAGAAACTTTCAAAAGAATGAAAGATCTAGTGAACCAGATGAGATATAGAGCAGAAAGCAGTAGAAATCAACATTTAGAGTAGCTTAGACCCCAGCCCTGTATTTATTCTGATGACATAGCAGGAACTTTTCATGAGCAAGTGCAGAGAAGGTGGGGATGCTCAGGAGGAAGAAAACAAGGCCTAAATCTTGTTGTGAGGATACAGTAATTGCAAACTTAATTTGGGGATAGGAAATGGGCTATGATTATTGCTGCTTCTGTAGCATTAGAATTAATACATAACCTGCTTTAAATATTATATGAATGGAGAGTAAAGGAAATCTCTATTTCCTGAAGTCCTTTAAAGAACGTTTTATTAAGTCTATGCAGAGAAATTACAAATTTCTTTATAGCAGTACAATAGCATAGTACCTCTATTTTATATTTGTTGAGTGTAGAATCACTTTTTTGGTCTGGTCTCCCATTTTATTAAGAAAATGGGAGTAAGAAATTACTCTGGATCGACCAAAAATGCCATTTGAGTGATCAGCTTGCATGGTGTGTAGTAAACTTGATTGTGTACATGGTTTTGGTGAGAAAAGAATATGCATTTTTTTATTTTCAGATGTAAAAAATAAATGTCCTCCACCCCCACTTCCTCCTCATGGGCATATCACCACAGTTAGAAGAACGTATCATAATGGAGACAAAGTTCGTATACAGTGCCAAAGGACCTTTGAAATAAGAGGATCTGAGGAAATCCAGTGTGAAGAAGGAAAATGGACACCACCCCCTATTTGTATTGGTTAGTACTTTTCTGAAAGAATGACAACTGAATAGAAATGATTCTTCAAACAGTGCTTTAATTTTCTGGAGAGTCCCGGTTTCCATATCTGCAAAACTGTTTGTTTTTCTGTGTTAAAAGGCTTGAGAGGTAAAGTGCTGCATATTTTGCAGTCAATCTGTGGTTCCCAGGTTACAGAGAAAGGATGAGCTAGGTGAATTCATCTGACATCTGTGACAACTTCCCTGGAAGATTTGGATTATTACATTTTACAAGGCATCAGTGTCTCTTTGTTTTTGCACTTGAAAATGAGTTGTTTCTGAGAAAACTGGTTCTGTGCTTCTGCTCTGGTTACAGGAGCTATGGATAAACAGGAGTCTGAAGCCCCACCATCACTGAAGTCAGATGCAGCAATAAGGGCAAACAAAACATATGGCAGTGAAGAAATGAGTAGGTGAACATTCCTCTTCTATTCAAAAAGGACTCTCCAATGCTATTATAGGCATTTTGACTACTGTCACTAGTCTTTTTCTATAAGACAATTCTTTGGTCTTGAAAATGCTTGCATGTGCTACAGATGTCAGTGTAGCAGTCTCAACTAATTAAATTGTTGCTTGTTGTAATGATTATAAACTAC